ATAAAACATCAAACGCGTCCTATCTCGACATGTTTTTCTTTGCCAGCCTAATGAGCTATTCGACGTTGGAGTTTTACTGATGCGTCTTCTCCATATGCAGCATCAAGCCCACCACCAGCAACAAGGTCATCAGCCTTCGCAGCAGCTCCAGCACTCGCGCCCTCCAAGCATCGTCCACCAGCATCACCAGCAGCACCCGCAGCACCAGCCGCCGCAGCATCACCAGGGCGCATACTCGTCGCAGCACTCTCTCCCGCAGGCGTACCAGAACAGCAGCCAGGCGACCAGCACGCCCGAAGCCTTGAACTACTACAACCACCCGAGCCCGTACAGCACGCCAGGTGCCACGAGCGGATACACGTCCGCCGGTAAGTCGTCGTCCCTTTGCGCCGCAAGCAAACGCACGCACGCACGCACGCGATTCCCGCGACTCGACTCGACTCGAACCGTCGCAACACTTGCTAACGCGGGCCCCCTTGTGCCTCTGTGCCTCCAGATACCTCCGACATGATGGCCGCCGCCCAAATGCCCAGACCTCCCTACCCTCCAATGTCCTATCATACACCACAGTCCAACTCGCCCGCGTCAGTAGCGTCGCCGTCGCAGCATGACCAGCACCGAAGTTTGTACGGCCAGCCGCCGTCGCAGCATTTGCAGCAGTCCATGTACTACCAGCCTCCGCCTCAATACCAGTCCATGCCCCATCAGGCGGCACCCTCTCCCTACGCGCAACATGCCCATCACCACCAGCAGTCCATGGCCTCGCAGCCAAACATGATGATGTCGCATGCGGCACCGCAGAACCAGATGCCGCCGCACGCGGCGCAGCACGCGCAACACGCACAGCACGCACAGCACGCACAGCATGCGCAGGCCGGCATGACGGGCAGCCCGCGGCCCAAGATCGAGCCCCAAGTCCCCCTGCAGCTGCAGAAGCAGCAGCCGCAGCCTTCTCCCATGTCGCAACCCCACCACCAGCAAGGCCCGCCGCAGCTTCAGAGCCCCTCCAACCCGACTCCCGCCGTCAACCCCAACGCCGCCCCCGGCCCCATCCCGGCGACGACGCCTCTGGTTGTCCGGCAGGACGGCAACGGCGTCCAGTGGATCGCCTTTGAGTACTCGCGCGACCGCGTCAAGATGGAGTACACGATCCGCTGCGACGTCGAGTCGGTCAACATTGACGAGCTGTCGCCCGAGTTCAAGCAGGAGAACTGCGTCTACCCCCGCGCCTGCTGCCCCAAGGACCAGTACCGCGGAAACCGCCTCATCTACGAGACGGACTGCAACCGCGTCGGCTGGGCGCTGGCGCAGCTCAACATCCCCCTCCGCGGCAAGCGTGGCCTGATCCAGCGCGCCGTCGACAGCTGGCGCAACAGCAACCAAGACCCCCGGCTCCGAAGCCGAAGGGTCCGCCGCATGGCCAAGATGAACAGCCGCAAGCAGCAGCAGCAGGTCCAGGGCGCTCCGCATCCCGGCGCCCACATGTCGGGCCCCGGCGGACCAGGAGGCCTTTCCAACGCTCCCGCACCCATGCCCACGGCTCACGCGCCCAACATGGGCAAGCCCACGATAGGCAGCATGGGGCAGCCTATGCACCACCACCATGCCGGGGGCCACCCTGACAACGGCGCACCGGGTCAAGAAGAAGTCGGTATGTTTCACCAGATGTGATTTTTGACTGTCGCATCTGCTGTATTTGCATCATCACTTTCTGCCTTGCAAACCTCCTACTAGACAGTTTTTACGCCGTCGAAACGTTGTGTTGATTTAATGATACCAACTCATTTTTTTTACACCCTCTGCAAAAAAGCACTTTACACTTTGTTTTTTCTGAGGGGGAGGGGCCCCTCGTCTGTTCTTAATCCGGCCCCCTTTTTACTGTTTTTTTCTTGTTTCCCTCACCTCTTGGTCTTGTCTTTTCCTCTCCCATCTTCGGCTCTCTACGACTTTTTTGGGATTTGGGCTTCTGTAACAACTCTTTGTGTGTTCTTGACGTCTGTTTTGATTGTTTGTTAAATAGCAATGGGCCGGCTTCGCTTGTCTTACCGCGCATCATATTACCTATCTTATACAGCATGCCTTAATGGCAAGAGGTCGATAGTCGGTCCCTCGGTTGGCACAATCCTGTATATTACCATAAAAGTCGCATCGGACTGCCGCTGCTGTCAAGTTGTCTGCTTTGCTGCTGGTTTTCGCGCGACTCTTAGATGAGTTGAAATACGCCTTACGGCTATAAGAAGTTTATTGCCTCCCTCCCCTTCTTCCTTACCTCTGGCTGGCAGCTGAACATTGCTATAGCTAGGTAGTTTGGAGGAGCCTTTTCCTCTACCACTACGCATGGCGAGATAGCTTGCCCTGCTTGGTCTTTTACTCCCTTTCCTACCCTCCCTTCCCCCGGGGCCCCCTCCCTCCTGCTATATAAAAGTTTAGACGTTTGGCGTGCTTTTTCTGTCGTTTGATAGTATTGGTCCTCTTCGTTCGCGTTTTTGATCATTGAGTAGTAAATCATATGGAGTAAAAACAAAAGCTAACGCGTCTGCCGAGGCCAAGGAAATAATTCATACGAGGACCACCACCACCACCACCAGGCGCCAGCAGGTCAGATGCCGCCCTCTGGCGGCGACGACGTGAGACAGGCTCACGTCTTCGCGGGATATGCGGGCCCGAGCTCATACCCTGTCGGCGGCGGCCAGGGCGGGTCGATGTCTCATATGGCCCCCCGGGCCAACGGGGCCATACCGGCAAGGAGCCACAGCCGCGCTGCTGCTGACGACGACGACGACGGCAACGGCAGCGGCGGCGGCGGTGGGGGCAGCGACGGCCTGTTCCCTGACATCCCCGAGGCGAAGCGGCGCAAGTTCATCCTGGTCGAGGACAACGTGCGGGGGAACCGGCTCCGGGTGCGCGTTACGCTCGACGGGGTGGACACCAACGAGATTCCGGACAGCTTCCGCAAGGGGGCGAGCGTCTTCCCGAGGAGCTACTTCCCGCGGGAGATGCAGAGCCCGCCGCCAAGCGCCACGGGGTCGCGCTTCTTTGCCGACGATGTTTCGGACGATGGCGACGACGGCACGCAGGAGACGGAGGGCCGGGAGGCCTCGCGGCGTGGCGGCGGTGCTGGCTCCGAGAAGCTCCGGGGCGAGGTTGTCAAGGTCGTCGTGGCCGAGGGGCAAGAGGTGGAGGCGACGATTCCGCGGATGAAGAAGTCGGCGCGCACGAGGGAGGTGCGGCTGAATGACCTCGGGTACCGCATGGCTTGGCTGCAGAGCCGAGTGTTTTCTGGACGGACGGTGTTTCTTCAGCGAGCTCGTGAGTTTTTTTTTTTTTTTTTTTTTTTTTTTTTTTTTTTTTTTTTTTTTTTTTTTTTT